AAATGACAGTAGTTGAAGCGCATCGTGAGATGAGCTCTCAGCGTAGATACAAAAAAAGCTGACGTCAACGAATAAAACCACTACTCCATCGCGGGTTCACTAACTTCGCTCGTCCATACCACAAAAAAAAAAAAAAATCTGACGTCAACGAATAAGAGGATACGACCATACTGTGATTGTGAGGCAGCTACCGGTGTGGGGGAAACGAAAATGTGCGTTGTTTGAGGCAAAGAAAAAAAGGAACAAAATAAAAAGGGAAAACATAACAAATTGAAAATGAAAAAGAAAATCGCGCAACTCAGACTCTCAAAAGAGTCCACCATTTCATTCCTGAGGGTGAAAATATGTACAGGACGTCCTCGAGGACAGACAGGTTATCACTCTTCTGACGACTGGTTGGAACAGATCGCCCAGCTCCACGTCACCGTGGCAAATATGTAAGGGACGTCGGACCCCTTTTCCGGCTATTAAAAGAATGGTCATTTTGGTAACAAAAAAAAAAAACAAAAAAAACAAAACAAAAAAAAAAGATCTACAGCCTTCTGTGCTTCGGAATATCCATTGAAAGTGGAAGGATACAGAGAAGATATATTAGCACAGACCCTGCTGAAGGACGACGCGCAGAAAATAAATAGATGGGTGTAATTAAAAAAAAAAGGGGGCGAAAAAAAAGGGGGAAAAAAAAAAAAGGGAAAAAAAAAACTCAGCCTTCCACCAAGGGACAAGGGGTAACACCTGTAAGGCTGTAATTATCGCAAAAACCTTCGAGGGCTGAGCAACGGTGTGAGGGAGGGGAAGGGGGGGGGGAGGGGTAGAAAAGCTCAGATATGCAAACAGTGCGCAGGGTGAAAACGGATCCGCAGAAGAGTGAAGTCTGATCGGAGAGAGAGAGAGGTTGGGTCAGCGGTAGCAAACTGCCCAGGAAAGGGTACAAAGCTACACAGCAGGGACACCTTCAGATGTTTCACTCACAACCACTGGGATATAGTGAGCTTGCAAAGGCTTTACACCCCCAAGAACTGAAAAAAAAAGAAAAGAAAAAAAAAGAAAAAAAAAAAAGAAAAGGGGAAAAGAAAAAACAAAAACGACTGACTGGAAATCACCATTCCTGTAGTCCAATAAGAGACACAGAGAGCGAGAGAGAGAGAGAGAGAGACTGAAAGAGAGAGAGAAAAAGAGAGAGAGAGAGAGAGAGATGGAGGGGAGAGAAAAAGTTACTCAGCGAGAACAATTGAGCAAACGCAACAAGGACAAGATCATCAAGTAAAACACCATTGATATTGCTTTCGCGGCACGAGATAAGGGAGGCGGAGGACGCTCTCTTCCTCCCTCTCCTCCCCCTCGCCCAAGCAATGCAATCCAGAAGCGGCGGACGAACAAAAAAGAAGACGCACGACAAGTGCCATCACGACACGAATGATGATTCCACGCACGCATTAAGTTAATATCCAAAATTTGATCTGGTACAAGACAGCGACCAGATAGCTAAACGAAACGTTACACTATACACTGACCGATCAACAACCACGCCAAGCTGCAAGGCAGGCGGGACTTTCGCTGCAAGGCGGGACTGGGGGGGACTTCTTTTCACTATCAATCGAAGCTTTATCACGATTCCAAACCAACCAATCAAGCCAAACGGTGAAGGACTGATGTCGCAGAAGACGCAGAATCGAGCACTTAGACATAAGAGCGCTTCGTCATGACAATGCAGCGACAGTTCTCATTTGGAAACCTCCTCGTACTCGACCTTCTCCCTTCTTTCTCTTTCCACCCTCCTTCCTCCGTTCTCCATCCTTCTTCCTCCTTTCTCCTTCCATCTTCCTCCTTCCTCCTTCCTCCTTCCTCCTTCCTCCCTCCTTTGTTCTTCATTCCTTCCTGCGTTCTCCTTCTTCCCCCTTCTTCCTTCTCCCTTCCGCCTACCGCTTACGCTCTTCTACTTCGACGTCCAGCCTTCTATTTTCCTTCCTCCTTCCTCCTTCCTTCCTTTCTTCCTTCTTCCTCCGTTCTCCTTCTTCCCCCTTCTTCCTTCT